CTGTGCCCTAGGGACCTCCCCCTAGCTCTCTGGATCTCGCTGACCAGATTACACACCTGCCCATCTCTGTAAACCCTGCATGGAATGCCCCCGTGTTCCTCAGCCATCGGATTTAGTCGTAGAGACTCCCACCTCAGGCTTTGGAGTGGAAAGATGATCGTGGATAAATGTTTGTGTTTTCCCCAACATTCTTTCCTGGTCAATAGAGACCCTATTGACGCAGACTGGTCCTAGGGGCTGCAAGACTGAGATCAAGGTGCTACTAGGGTGGGTCCTTGTCAGCCTGTGAGGACGAGTCTGTTTGGGCCCTCTCCTGGCTCTGAGCGCTTTCTGGTCATCCTTGGTGCTCCCTGACTTTCAAAGGTCTCTGCCTTCAACCTCACATGGCTTTCTCCTTGTGTGCATATCTGTTCCCAGATTCTGTTTTCATCAGAGCATGTGTCATCCTAGCTTAGGGCCTGCCTCATTTTTACTTGATTCCCTCCTTAAAGACCTTATCTCCAGACTAGGTCACCTGGTGTGTGCCAGGGTCTGGGACTTCAATGTGTGAACTTGGTAGAGGGCATGATTTAACCCATACCCTGATTAACCTATTATCTTCCAACAAACAGAGGAAGGGAAGGTTCTTAGCTACCCCTTGGTGAGTGTGACCGGGGGTGAGCAGAAAGCCCCCTCTTTGATGGGGGCATCACAGTCCTGACCTAACGCCATGCACAGCTGACCTGGACCTGTCCCTGCTCACACTGCAGATGTTCCTGGAAGTTCCACCATAGGAACACCACCTGCTCCAGTTCACGTCTCGTGCTGTTGAACTGGTAACACGGGGACCAGCAGCACCATTTCCTTACATTAAAATTCATGAAAGGATGAGGCTTGACACCCAAAATAGACTGATAGCAAAAATGGCACATTTCTGTCCTTCACCCTCTCCCTATCTGGCCAGGTAGCCTTACAGCTCTCCCCGGGCTGCCGGTGACCTGCTCGGTGTAGAATGTGGCGTGTGACAGCCCAAGGCCAGGCCCCACAGGTCCTTCCTGTACTGCTCTTCATCTGAATCTACTCACCATCGACAATGGCTCAGCCTGTAGGGCAAGAGGCACTGTGGGACCCAGGTGAGCAGGGCAGCAGGAGGCAGCCATCCCCCAACCCCACAGCACTCCTGGTCACGGCCACTGAGGCCAGCAGCCCCGCTCCACCTCCCAGTGCCCAACCAGCCTGGAGCTCCACAGACACACAGCGGAGGCTCCGATTGCAGCTATGGGAGGTTCTGTGGGGCAACTGACAGCTGCTGGCAGGCCAGCCTTCACCGACCGCCCGTGGTCTCCAGCAGAGGGAAGCAGGCCTGGGCTTGCCAGAGCCCTGGTTCCTATGAACAGAGGCTGTGAGAACACACGCATGTCTCCCTTCCCAGCCGTGCGGGTGACAGCAAGCCCCTTACTGTAAGAGGGCCTGTGGATCCCAATAGAAGTCATAAAATCAGCAACGTTAAATTTGCAATGATGATCATAAAATGCATAAAACACATGGTTAATCTTGTATAATAACTCAATGAATTATTATTATTTAAGTTAAATAATAATTTAAGTCTGTGTTTAACAATGGAGGAAGAAGCTCACGAATGTCTTATTCTGAATTCAGGAATCTACCGTCGTCTGTTCCCCTTGGTTCCAACTTTCCTTTCTTCTTTCATCTTTGAAGACTCAGAGTGAAGGAGGAACGCAGGTTCTAGAGCATGGTCAGCAACAGAATTGGCGTGCAAGCTGCTGACACACCCCTCAGGCATTAGGACATTACGAGTTCATTCCCGTGGACCCAGGCTAGCTATCCCACTGCCACTGAGGAGCAGAGCTCCTGGGGTTCAGTTAGGACTTAGAGGAGGGATCTGAGGAGACCCGGGGCTGTGCCAAGTCCTGCCAACCAGTCCAAAAGAACCTCCATGTCCCCTCATTTCTGAAGCTCCCCTGTCAGTCACGGTGAGTCCCAATTTTCACACAATTCCTAAGACCTGTTGCCCCGACCTTATTTTCTATCTAGATTCAGAATTTAGCTTCTCACATTAGTATCCCCTTCTCGTGCTCCTCATGTGCTTTCTATTTACCATTTTTTTTTATATTGCAAGGGCATTCTTTCTGCTTTGGACCTATGAGCCATCCTTTCAGGGTTGGGGACTGGGGAATGACTTGGGAAAGCGTCATGAGGCCTGACCTGGTATCACTCTGCCACACGTCAGGTAGGGTCAGGTGAGGTCAAGTGACCTGCTTACACCTCTCTGGGGCTTCACTTCTCCTATGCCAACAGCAAGAATTGACAAGATTCACTTTAGACTGCAGTTATTTGGCACTAAGTTTGTCATTGGAATTGTGCTCTTCTGATCTGTGAAAAGTAATACATAGTGACATTAATCTTTTGGAAAGCAATATGAGCGGCAGGAGTTTTTCAACAGGTCCTTGTGACAGTTTTCCCCCTTAAGCATCCACAACCAAAGTAATTCCAGTTTGTATGACACCAGACTAGTCCCCTCTGTGCACATCATGGATCAGGAGCAGGGGTACAGGGTGAACGGCCTTCGCAGCTCACAAACATGCACACATCTCTTCGGTGTTTGGTGTGAGAACAGTATTTGATGTTTGGTGTACAGTCTGCCCATTGCATTGCTTTGGTTTAAAATTGACTCCGATTAGAAAAGAGCTATGACCAAGTTCCATCCTTATGATCTGAAGTTCCCTATGTTTCCCCGTGGTGATGGACACTTGCTTCTTTGATCTGAAAAGGTCACTGGCCTGGGGTAAAGCACCATAGCCAGGTACTTGGGGAGCACTTTCTTTTCATTGTGTTTTAATTTTTATTTCCTGTCAAACATAGCCTTGATTTTTCGAATGACTTCATGAAGGAGAACCTGCTGCCAGAATACAGGCAACTGTTAACATCTGTTGGACTAAAAAATTAGTATCTGCCACATTTTTGTGGAAAGAGTCAGATTGTAAGTCCTTTGGGTTTTGTTGGCCACACAGTCTCTGCTGTGGCACCTGAGCCTTGGCATTGTGAAGGAGTCATGGACAATCTGTAGACAAATGAGCCAGGTTTCAGTGAGACTTGACTTGCAAAAGCAGTTGGCCAGACCAGTTCAGGCTCTAAGCAAAGTATAACAACATTATTTTTCTAAATTAGACCTTAAAGTTCAGGGCTAAATTCTCAACCTGTCGCAGACTGAAGGATTATCTCTGCTTGAATCCTTGCAATATTTGTCCTTAGAGTTATATTTGTAGGATGTTTTTAATTAAAGAAAACTCTATATCCAAATTTGAATCCTTGTCTTCCTTTTAAAAGCCAGGTTGAAGACCGGCACAGTGGTGCATGCCTATAATCCCAGCACCTTAGGAGGCTGAGGCAGGAGAATCTAGAGTTCAGAGTCAGCCTCAATAACAGCCCTAAGCAGCTCAGTGAAACCCTGTCTCTAAATAAAATACTTAAAAGGGCTGAGGATAAGTGCCTCTGGACTCAATTCTGGGTAAAAAAGAAAAACAAATGGTTCTATCTGGCCCCCATCACTATTGCTACAACCCACACACTGGCCACTCACTTCCAACTGTCCCCCTTTTATGTAATATTTTTAATTATTTATTTATTTGAATTAGGTATATATGACAGCAGAATGCATTTTGACTCATTGTACACCAACGCAACGCAACTTCTCATTTTTCTGGCTGTCCCTTTTGCAGGGGACCTGTGTGCTGCCATTTCCCCTAGCCTCCAGCCTCCCCCTTTGCTCCCTCCTGAACCTGAGAAGCAGCTTTGAGTAACTGCACAGTGTTCTAAGATCTGTCACCCACATCAGTTCCCAACTGTACCCACAGGCTGGAGTCTGCCCTCTCCTAGGATGAGCACTGGATTCCTCGTACAACTGGAAGAAATGGGAAACTTGCACCATTGTAAAGAACAGCATTTACTTTTCACAATGGAAAGAAACTGATTAAACACTGTTTTGGTTTTAGTCTTTTAAAAAGACCCTAATAGTGAATCATTTTATATCAACCATTCTTCTTTCATTTCATCCATTTGAATTTATAAAAGAGAGGCCCTGGTCATCTCCATTGGGAAACTCAACTCGGAAACTCTGATTCCCTTTTATGTTATACTGGACACAATTGGAGGTAATTAGAAACCCCATTTACCAAACATGCAAAGTCCTGTACTCAGGAGAAAGGGAAATTCTGCCTCCTTCTGAAGAACATTTTGGAGACATCCAGGCACTGTCCAAGCTCATTCTCACTTTTCCAGGTAAGCGCAGGTTTGTTGAGAAAAAAAAAAAAATTAGAGGGCATTGAGGGAGGAGGATGACAGGTGATTTAAGTTTACTCTAATTCAGTCCTTTTGGTAAAAATGTTTGTGTTTTTTGAACAATACTTTCAAATGAGAGAGAGAGAGAGAGAGAGAGAGAGAGATAGATAGATATCTGGAGCAGGAGCAGCTCAGGCCCAGCCAGATGATCTGCCCAGCATGGTTGACACTCAGGACTGCCTAAGGCAAGAAGTCCACTGTGAGCTCTCCCTGGGCACCTACAGGCTCCACGCAGGCTGGCAGAGAAGTGCAGAGCACACCCACTACATTTTCTCATGCAACCTTTTTCCAAAATTTCAAATTCAGCAAGGTCAGACCATACTGAATGTGGGGGACCCTGCAACTACAGCAGCAGAAGTCCAAGACCCAGGACCTAGGGAAAGTATGGGAGTGGGAGAGCAGCCAGCAGAGAAGTACCCTTTGCATGTACTCACAAGGGTGTAGACACATATTCATGTACTTGTACACGCGTGAATGCATGAACTTATTGTGCAATGATGTACACATGTGGTCGGTAACCCTACCGTATAATCCAACAGGCCAGCAGTGAAAGGGTGAAATTCCTGGATCACCAAGCTCCACGCACATGAGCTTACACACAGCCCCGTGCCTGCCCAGCCCCATGCGTGCCCAGTAAGGTTGGGCGCCCTTTGGTGCTCACGCAATACCCTCTGCAGGGCGATAAGAGGGTATCTTCTGCACCCTCTAGAGGGCCCAGGGTACAGGCAGGACGCGGAGAAAGCCAGGGCGTCAGAAAGCAATCCTGCTGGCTGCAGGTGCTCTGCTCTTTGAGCTGCGCAAGTCCAGCCCTCCTGTGTGTGAAGCCGGCTGCCCAAGGCTAACCGCAGAGTCCTGCAACCCAACAGCAGGTCTGCTGGGTCCTCTTACCCTTTTCTGCCCTCCCCTCCTCTTCTCTCCCCCTCCTGTCTTCCCCTCCTTTCCCCTCCTCCCAGGCTCTCCCAGGGCGGGTGCTCAGCCGCCCTAGCCACTGGGGCTGCCACTCCACCCCCCCACCCCCACCCCCGCGCTGCGCGGAGGCGCAGTAATAACCCCAGCGCGGGCGCTGGAGTGGCGGCTGGAATCCTGAGCCGAGCCCGGGTGGGATCTTCGCTGCACGATTGCACACTGGTGGCTGGCTGCTGCCCGGCTGCGGACCATCCAGTGACCCGCCCTCACGGCCGAGCGCCCCTGGATAAAGCCCTGCGAACTCTACTCAGGAGCGCAGCGCCAGCTTGCGCGGGGAGACCCGGCTATGAGGGTCCCAGACTGCGCGACGCTCTGGGTGCTGCTGCTGGCGCAGGTCTGCGTGCAGGTGAGTAAGGTGGGCTTCTGCCCCAGGCGGTAGGTAGCCGTGCATCCCTGACAGGTGGGAACGCGTCCCTCCCGGGGCTCCTCTCCCGCAACCCCAGAGGTCTCACCAAGGTGTTTTCCAGCAGGCACCTGCGTGCGCGATGGATCCCGCAGCTGCAGCGTCTGGAAGCCCTAGCGTCCCGCATCTGTCCCCTCCCCCGGAACGGCCTGGAGGAATGGAAACCGGCGGTAAGTCAGCGAATTGGGGTCTTCTAATCCTTGCAATCTAGCACCTCGTAAAAACCCCACCGCTGGTTTATAAACCGCTGCGAATGTTCCTAACTCTAAACTCTGCTTTTAAGACTTTTCGCTGCATTCTTCAAACAGCCTGAGTGCGCGCTCACGAGTGGGCTTCCACCGATATTCATATTGAAATTCCTGAGATAATAGTCACAGTGTGCCAGTTTTAATAGTAAGAAAGAGACAAGGAAATATATTTTACTTTTAGAAAATTAGAAGAGCCTAGGCAGGGTCTAGACCAACGTATAGGTGAATGTAGACCTCATTGATGTAAAGTCTTTACCAGAGTTTCTCTCTTCCCCTCCTCTCCCCCACCCCAAGTCTCCCTCTATATCTAACTATCAGAGTAAGAGACAAAAGGCTGTCGTTTTCCCACAGTGCTTGTGATCTGAGTATAAAAGTTAATGCTTTTCAAGAACTGAGTCACAAGTGAAGCATCATAGAGAGTGGAATGGCTAATTAGCTTGTTGTGATGTCATCAGCAATGTTTGTGTTCTGTGCCACGATTTGGTAGGGAAGGAATCTGATCCTTCTACAATGTGTGGTTTGGCTTCTGCTGCTTACAAGTGGCTTTTGCAGCATCTGAGTGGAATGGGTCTGTGTCATGCTACCCCCTCAGATAAAGGAGAAAACAGATGTGTGACATTGGTTTCTAGGTGGTTTCTCTGTGTGCCCCGTGTGACAGCAGTTACTGGATGTTAGTTCTCCGTATGGTTTTTCCACAGGGAATGACATTGGCTTTTAGAGGAAGAATTAGGTTTGATTATTTCAATGTGTTCTTAGAAAACCTAGGAAAGTAGAGTTAATGATCACAAATTCTTCCATGCAGTTTCTTCATCCTGTTTAACAGAAAGACAAAATATATATGCATTAGCTGTTGAAATTCTGTTCCACTGAATGAATATGTGAATTGTACATAGTATGTAAGGAGATTGATGCTAGACCGTGGGCCCCTTTGAGCACCACCAGAGGGCGCTAGATACAAATAATATAAAATGTTTAACAATCACTTTCCCTGTAGTTAAGGGGAAAGTTAACTCTGGGTCTGTTTAAAGCTCCCTTCCCAAGCGATCCTTATCTCCTTTAATGCTTCTCTGCCCATGCATTCTACAACATGATCATATTAGAAGTTAATGGTCCATCTTCACGTATTTCTTTTAAGATGTGGTAAAAAAGTACTTGTTTTAGAATAAAATCATGAAAATTCCAGAGGGACTCAGGATATTTTAGAGTATTTTATAGCATTTTTGAAGTTTATTTAGAGCAAGAACATTATAGATAGAGAACTATTCAGGAAGAAAAGCCTGTGCTTCCTGCCTAAGACTTGGGCTTCCTTTCCTGTGAGCATGGAGGGAAGCAACTTTTTGTCACCTTCTCAGCTGGTATGGTTAGCACAGTGTGCCCATGATAGCCACTTACCTGGCTGGGTCAGAACCTGAAGCAGGTGTGAGCCATCATTAGGGAGGTTCTGTCTTAGTAGACACACTGCCCTCACCTCCCCAACCCTCTTGTGCTTTAGCTGTTTAATTATGAAAGGCTGAACTGAGAAAGTGGGCATCAGTGGACAGTGTCTACACTTCCAGAGAAAAGACCACTCAGCAGTACTCCCTGCTTTTGTCTGGAGTAGCAGAGCTATCATGTACTTCATGTGACCTTGGGATCAGCTGACTGTGGGATGTCAGGTACCCATGATACAAGTTGATTTTGAAATAACTATCTGGGGCCCTGATTTTTGTTCCAAGTAACAATTCCTGAATGTTGCTGGGTGTCTGAGCGATCAATCTCCCAGTGGAGAGAGCATGCCATCGATGTCCTTGATCCATTCCATTTTCAGACTCTTAAGAAACATGCCAATTTTTTGTTTTTGTTTTTGTTGTTGATTCAACATTGCTTTTTATTCGTTAATAGGAGATTAAATGCTCTTTCCTGCAAATATATCTTTGTAATAAAAATCCTGGCTCTGTTAAACCAAAGACCCATCACAGATTGCTAACTTTTTAATTTCCTAAGTAAGGTTTAGAAGTTCTTTAGAACTTGCTTTAACTTTTAATGTAAAAGATGTGTGTTTGTGTGTGTCTGTTTGAAGTTTGCAATGGTTTACATTCAGACACCTACATGCCAGGAGACAGGGCAGTCTCCGGATGGCCCAGCAGTCTGCTTGTAAATGTTTGACAACCTCCCCTCTGGGGGGGAGGTTTTGGGCACCAGTTCATACATTTGATTGGATTCCTGTGGTATAAATATCCCATTGCTGCCAACTCCCAGCCACCAGTGTGATGTCACTGAACACAGAGGAGGAAGCAAAGTGCCTGGAGCTGCTACCTGCTGGCCCCCCAGGCTCACCAGGGGGTCTACACCCGCAGTGGTCTTTTCTACACTGACTCCTTCTAGACTTGAGGCTGTGTTCAAAAAAACTTGAAATCATGTAGTTCAGTGTACTGAGTGAGCAGGGATCCACAAACTTTTTTCTCATTAAACACATCTTACATGGGCAAGGTCTTTTTTAAAGGATTGCAAACAGCAGGAATCTCACTTTAAAGACATCATGAGCCACTGTTTGGGGGATTACAGTCTTAGAGCAGGAGGCAGGGTCAGGGTCAGCATTCGGCTCACGGGTGTCCCAGCTGGCTTCTCTCCCAAGGGTGCCAGGGCGGATACCCTGCTCGGAGGGTTCATTCTCTGAACTCTGGCCTTTCCAACCATGGACTCATGCCTAGAGCACACATGGGATTCTAAGGGCTGCTCTCTGGAACTCAGGGAGGCTTTTCAACCTTGGCTGTACTGACATCCTGTTCTGGGGGCTGCCCCGTGATTGCAGAATGCTCAGCAACAGCCCCGGGTCCAGCCTGCCCCAGTCCAGGAGCAACAGTGTCCCTTTCCCCCTGTGAAGACCAAAGAGTCTCCAGACAGCGCCATGTGTCCCAAGTGGCGGGAGTCACCTCAGCTGAGCACCACTGGACAGAACCTGGAGGAGGCTCTCCCAGCAGGCCCTTCTCCTTCCTCTTGGAGAGGGACAGGGATGGAAGCAGGCGGCGCAGCTGGGGTCTCTGCCAGCACACGCCAGTTCTGGAGAGGCAGCGGCTGCCATGGTGGGGGTTTACTCAGCTGATTGGTAAAAAATTAAAACTTATAAAAACACAGTGAAATGAAGCCCCTGTTACAAAACAGCTGAATACGCAGCTCCCCTCCCTTCCTGATTTCCCGCATCCTGCTGTCCCCTGTGCTTCCGAGGCTGTTAGCACCTTGCGTCTGTGAGGTGGACACATGTCACAGTGATGGACCACCGCCAGTCCCTTCCTGATTCCGTGTCAGCAATACCATGTTGGTCACTGCAGCCAGCCGTGCAGGGTGTCTGCACCAGGGACACGGGGTGATGCCACCTGTCAGCCTTTCTCCTGGGTGGCTCAGCACAGCACTGCGTGCCCTTGGGAAAGAGGTTCTTCAACCAATCACACCCTCCTCTCAGTGAAGGGTAAATATCCTCCACCCTCCAAATAAAGGTCCTAAGAATGTGGCTTATGTCACTGGGGAGAAGTGTGACTTTTTAATTCAGTTGTCACCTTTTCGTGTGCAAGAGAGTTTGCTGATGAGCTGTGCTCTGAAGCCACCCCATGTGCTTCCTGTCCCCACTGACCCCAAAGGACGGGTAAGGGGTCAGGGGCAAATGGAAAGCTGTCCCCTGGGAGGCCAGGTGGTGAGAGGCCTTAACAGATGATGGGGAGGAGCCTTTCCTAGAACCCAGAACCCTGGGTGAGAGGGGTGTCTCCCTGTAAGGAGAGTGCTTTGGGCAGATGCAGGCCGCCCAGGAGCAAGGCCCATCCTCTCTGAGTGGCACCTGGAGCAGACTACAGACTCCCACATCTCACCAGAAGCACCAACCGCTGCCCCAGTTCTCCTTCTCCACCAAGACGGGCACTTTCACCAGTTTCATATGATTTCTCATTTTCCTAATTAAAATATCACGTGTTGCCAACGGATTTTACCCCATCAGACACAAGTTACCTTCTTTGGTGGTTAGTTGAAGATCAGTGGTGACTTGTCAAGTCCTCGGTGGGAACCTGCTGCTTCTCCAATCTGCAAGGCCCTCCCCACCCCAGTCAGGTCGGCTGAGTGCCCGTTCATACCACATGGTCGGGACCGACCTGTGAGGCCCAGCAGAGCTCAGCTGGGCTCTGAACTAAAAAGAACTGCATGGAGGGGGACTTGCCATGCCCTCTGACCCCTGCCTGCCTGGCACGGGCCCTCACCCTGCCCTGGGCTCCAGCAGCAGGCTCTCCGGCTATGTCCCGCCATCATCCCTGGCCGTCTTCACCTCTCCCAAACCCAACACACACCTTTTCCCAGAGCCCTGCTCCTGTGTCACCACGAAATCACCTACCAGGACTGAGCAGGAGTAGAAGGACAATCTACTCTGAAGTTCAACTGTGAAGAAAATCTTCTCCCCATCTCCAAAAACAATGTATTGAATATTGTTGACTTACAACGAACTCCACTTGACAGAAGTAGATGGAGGTTTTACTTTATCTTACGGACAAAGCAGGGAAGAGCTGGGTTCTTAAGCGTCTGGCAGAGCAGCTTCCTGAGAGCGTCTGTTGATAACAGAGGGGAGATGCCTTCTTAGAATATGAGCCCTGGGGTTATGTCCAACAAGCCAGAGGAAGTGCATTGCGAGTCCACAGGATGTCCACCTGGATGCTGTGAGATTCCTTTGGCCTGCTCTGGGGCTGGGTCCAGTGTCCTTTTCAAAGACAACTCACATTTGGTGGAAGGCCTCACACCATGCTGATATTTTAAAGTGTGTGAATTTGTAGAAAAAATTCAGGACAGGAAGCCAGCCCTCTCCTAGAATGTGCAGGCCCAGGGCTCACCAGCAATCGGAGGCACATGGGCCATAGGCATAAGCCCCTGTGCCCCATCATCTGGGATGTGGGACACCTGTGGAAACTTACGTCCCATGTATGGTAACTCTGAAATAATCATTATGTTCGTAGAGGTCTATTCTTTTGAGATAAGTAATAGATAGTGATCAGAGCAATTGAATATATGTCCATTAGCTTAACGTAGGTGGGAAATGGAAGCTCTAGATTATTCCAACCTATTTTAAGGCACCCATGTCGATTTGTGCTTGGAAGACTGAGACTTAATGGGTTAAATAAGGAAAAGATATAAAACAAGCTGACGAATCACTCACTACAATATTTTGTGATCCGGCCTTGACACAGCGGTCTTTGCTTGGCCGTCAACTCCAGGTCTGTGCAGCAAGATCTGACCCCAAGGGTGAGGCCCACCCTTCCCCCCACCCTCTGGGAAGCACCTTGCCCTGGACCGTGGAGGGCATTGTTGATGGTGGTGATGAGAGGATGGGTCCTGGTTCCCTGGGGAGGGACGAGTCATCTGGAGAAGACACAGAGGTGGTCATAGGACCTGGCAGGATCCCTCAGAGCCCTGAGCTCCGCTCTTCCTTCTGCAGAAAAGGCCTGACCCCAGATGCAGCCCTGGGAGATGCCTGTGACCATGGTCCTGAAGGCTTGGATGCTGGTCCAGAAACCTGCCAGCATCTTTGGGATTTCTTCTGCTTTTTAAAAAGAATTAATTAATTTGAATATGGTGTAGACGGGTACAGTATAAATTATAGTGGGGAGAGGCAGAGGAATGTGAGATCCAATCAATTTACAAGAGCCCAAGGAAACAGGAGGGGAAGCCAGACCAACAGAGGGCTCCTGAGCTCTCCAGGGGGTGCAGACGCACATGCCAGCATTCAGAACTGGCACCTGGTAGATCTGGAGTCTGTCGGCACCCTGCACTTTCTCCTGCTTTTAAATAATTAAGCAGCAAGTTATCTTATAAAAATTATGATTTTTTTAAGATAGAATTTGTCAGATCACTGAAGATGTCTATGATAAAAACAATATTAATCCAGAGTGTCTCAGAGCTGTAAAAATGACTACCTGTGATGGTTACTCTGGCAACACAATTTATGAGATATAATCCTAGAAGACCAATTTTGGTCTTATATGATCCATAATATATTTTCCCTTTTAAATGTTATAGAAGGTTCTGCATTAGTAATAAGGCATTATGAGGGCAGCAGTGTTTTACCTAAAAGTCATTTCTAAGACTTTTCCTTTTAACTCAGATGTTATTTAGCCCGCATTTGGATCTGAGGATGGGAAGGTGCTGGATTTTCCTCCATCATTTCTTACTGGTGAAAATGCTAAGGTCGCCTTAATTCTAAGACTTTGCAGTTCTTTCCAAAAGCCTGAAGGTACTCAGCTTCCTGCCTCTCTTCTGATTTCAGAGTATGACCTGGTGTCTGCCTACGAGGTTGACAGCAGAGGTGACTACGTGTCCCATGACATCGTGCACCACCAGCGGCGGCGAAGGGCACTGGCCCAGCCAGGAGGTGACTCTCTGCACCTCCGGCTGAAGGGCTCCAGGCATGATTTCCAGGTGGACTTGAAAGCCTCCAGCAACCTGGTGGCTCCGGGGTTCGTGGTGCAGACCCTGGGGAAGAGGGGCACCAAGGCCGTGCAGATGTTCCCACCTGAGGACTTCTGCTTCTACCAAGGCTCCCTGAGGTCCCACAGAAACTCCTCCGTGGCCCTTTCAACCTGCCAAGGTTTGGTGAGTGCGATGGTTCTGGCTGCCAGGACTGAGGTGGGGGTGGTCCTGGCTAAAATGGGGGGCACCACCAGAGATGTCCTCAGAATAGCCTTGCTTGTGTTTCTGTCATCATGGGGCAGACATCTCTAAAAGCAAGGGGGAAACTGCCAAGTAAAACTGAAATGAGCTGTGTGGACCCCTCCCCACCATTGCCCTCGCGGCTGGTGGATGAACTCCGCCATTTGGAAAGTCTGCATTGAACTTGCAGCCAGGTCTGTGTCGACCAGCTTCATACGAAGGTTTTTACTTAGTTTAAGACTCCGTTATGGAAACAGGGAAATGTCTTCATGTGACTCTAGTTGTTGGTTTGGCTGTCTTGGTCAGTTGGTTGTTGTTTGAGACTTTAAGAACCTTCTCCTGTCATTCTGATGTTGGTGACAAGCTTGAGACCAGGGCAACACTGGCCACATCAGATGGTGCCTCTGCTGGTGCAGGTTTCAGTTCCTGAGTAGGTGACTAAGACCGTCCCCTCAGCTTGTCTGTCTCCTGTGCTGCGTTTGCAGAGACCCTAGGGTGAGGAGCAAGTGCCGGCCGGGACTCCCCCTGCCTCCCTCAGGCCTGCTCAGGCTGGAAATCTGGATGAATTCTCTCCTACTATCATCAAAATGCTTCCATAGTTTTAGAGGAAAAAGGCTTAGGAGATACTTAGACTGTTGGCCACAAATTAATCTCAGGCACAGATAAACACAACGTGACCAAGACCAGAGTGAAGCTGCGTGGTCAGGACGCTTCCAGCCCTGGCAGAGCAGAAGGTTGAGCACATGGGCTTCTGGACATGGTCCACAGCTCTGGAAAACGCTCCCAGCCTGTCCTCCACTTCCTTTCCTGCTAGGAAAGAAGGAGTCCAGACCCCAAAGCTCCTAAGGACTTGTGTGTGTACGGGGTGGGGGGCATCGGATGCCAAAATCACATCCGTAACCATTCTTTGAATAGCTACATATATGCAAATGCTGAATCCTGTAAAATGCTTTAGAAGATTAACTCTCTACTCTTTAGAGGACTCTGATGTGAGCTGATCTCATTCCTGCTCTCCTTTGTAAAGGCTTTTGGTTTGGGATGCATGTTCAGGGGTGGGGGTGATTTCGCACTCTTGTGGAGCATGAAGACTATATGCTGGTTCTTCCACATCCTCTCCCCAAAGCAAGTCTTCCTTAATTGAGTGGTTTAGTCAGTTTTTTCATCACTATGACCAAAAGACACGGCAAGAACGATTTTAGAGGAGGAAGTTTATTTGGTGCTCATGATTTTAGAGGGTGTTAGTAGTATATAGACAGCCAACTCCAAAGCTCTGGGCCCAAGGTGAGGCAGGACATCTTGAGAAAGGGTGTGGAGGAGGAAAGCAGCTCAGGATGTGGCCTCCAGAAAGCAGAGAGAGAACTCCGTTCACCTGGGACAAGATATAAACCCCAAAGCATGTCCCAGTGACCCACCTCCTCCAGCCACACTCGACCTGCCTGCAGGTGCAGTGCACTTGCTCCATATCAATGGTGTAGTCTGCTGATTAGGTTTAAGCTTTCAGAACCAAATCATTTTGCCTCTAAACTGTGTTTCATTGCCTCAGACATGAGCTTTTGAGAAACCTCATTTCCAAATCATAACATGGAGTGAAACTCTTCACGTATTGCACAAAATTATGATATCTATTCCTTTCCTTGGTTTTCTTTTGCAAAGACTTAGACCAGCCATGTGTGGGAAGGTGGAACATGCCTTTCCAATTTTGGCAACGCTGGCTCTGGTTTCAGGGATTGGGTGGGTCTTTGCCATTAGCAGCGGGAGACAGACCCTCTGACGACCCTGGGTCTCCAAGAGGCAGGGCCCTCCCGTGGTAGTTGAGTTATGCCCTGGAAGGTGTCCCATGCATCAAGCTGGCTGGCAGCAGCTTGGGATTTCTGGCTGTCTTTGAACATGACGGGAGTTAACAGCAGAAGTGTAATTGTGCAGATAAAAAGTGAAAAAGAACAGAAAAATAGGCTCCTCTGGGCAGTAAACAATGGAATCTGATAGTGTGACCTAGGGAATAGAAATTTGTATGTTTTCACCATTCATCTTCCAAATACAAGAACGCCAGCTTGCCTGATATTTTGTCCATAGACGGTCATTGCAAATGTGACCTCAGCTGGCCTTTAGAGTGAGAGGTTTGGGGGCACTTGCCCTGAGATAGGACAAACCAATGGCATTTTAAGGGAAAAAAAGAAGGATTAAAAGTCTTCTCACTTTAGCCAGATGAGAAGAATATTGAAGGGGCCCTCAAGTGGCCGTCAAATCTGCTGCTTCTCTCCAGCTGGGGTCGCCCCACCCCTCACCTTCAAATCTTTTGGCACGTGAAGAACAAGAGAGTGTCTTTTCCGTGAGATGAGAGCTCCCTTGTCATTTTGGGGATGTTCAGATTCTAGTCTAACCCAGACCTCAGAGAAGATGAGGAGGAGGAGGAGGAAGAGCAGAGGGAGGCTAGACAGGTGCTCTGCCCCTGAGCTACCTGCAGCCTCAGTTGAGACTTTTTCCAGTTTCTAGGTGGAATTCATTGATCCCACTCTCTGGTGGGAGCCAGGAGCCAGTAGAGCATTTTGTGCTGCTCCTGATGCCAGGAGAGGTGCGCTGCCTGCCATGCGTCGAAGTCCATGCTGTGGCATCAGGTTTTCGCACAGAGAAAAGGCTGCACTGCACCGTCAGCCCCAGGGCAGCCACAGGAAGTTCACAGCTGCCTGCCCTTGGGGTGTCCATGGGGCTCACAGGAAGGGGCAGGAGGTGCTGCTGGCTGACTGCCTGGGAGAAGCAGGACTTCCTGTCCCCTCACAGGCCGTAGGTCTATTTTCTGGGCAAACTAGGTTCTGTGCAGGTGGTTTGACCTTGTGACATCCACAGGCCATTGACTGCATGAGCAGGCTTCTGTAGCTCTTGTCCTTTCTTGAAAACTGGTTCCAAACCATCCTTGAGTGGATAGCATTTTCCCTAGAGACAAGAACTTCCTTATTTAAGGAATTTGGCCCTGGGTGTGGCCAGGCCCTGGCCTATTTGTATTCACCCAGACAGTTTGGCAGAGCCCAGTGGAAAGCACATGAAGGCAGGATCCTGTCTAGTGGGAAGTGCTCCCTATTCTCCCCATTTAACCTTCAGGATGAAAATATCACTTCTGAGTTTCCAAGCATGTTGCCTCAGAGTGTAGCATCTTGTGCCATGGCCACCACAGCCATATAAAGTTTCCCCTGGGTCATCCGATTCTGAATGTGGAACATTTTCCAAGTTGTCCTCTTATGACTGGTTTGAAGAGCACTGAAATCTAGTTGATGTGGTGGTTCTCTTTGTAGCAAACAAATGTCATAAAGGAGAAAAGCAGAACTAAAACAAGCATTTTACTTTATATGTATGTGGACAAAAAGGACGTGAATGGTAAGTGGGCTTCAGAACTGTGTCCCTGGAGCCTGCCAGACCTGGGCCTAGAGAGACCATGGCTGATGAGAGGGGCAGGGGAGGGCACATTCTCTCCCAGGTACTTAAACAAGGAGAGGCAGTGAGCACCAGGAGAGTCAACAGAGGGCACCTCACCACCGTGGTGGCACATGGAGTGGTCCACAACCAAGACCAGGCCCAGTCTTCAGGGTAGAGTCAGGACATGATGCCCATCAGGGGAGGGTCACAAGCATCCTAAGAAAGGTGGCTAACATCTAAAAAATTCATGGAATTCTTGATAATACCACCCTCCAAAAAGAGATCAATATTTTTACATTAATCAAGTACTATGCCAAATAATATTGGTATACTGTACCACCAATTATCTTGATTCAAAATATGAGTTAACAATAAGCATGACCTTTTCAAGATAATATCTGTTATACTTACATCTCTACCAAATTGTCAGTATGTGTCTCTTGAAATGACCTCACACTCACACAAATTCATTCTAATGCTTAGACAAAAGAAAGGAGAAAAAGGATGGATCAAAAAGCCCTGTTTTCATGTAGATAATGAAAACTGTTGAACAGATAGAACTCCTGGGCTAGAAATAACAATGATAATGATGATGATGATTGCAAGAATGGTATTCACTTGTTGAATGTTTGTGCAAAATAATTTGCTAGTAGCTTCACACTTGTTATTCACTTAATCGGATAAGCCAAAGAGATAAATACTAATTTATTTTAAATATAAGCTGTAACAAGGTATCATTAACATAATGTAAAGTCCATGCCTTCAAAATGTACACTTCAGTGGGTTTTAGTATAATCAGAGTTGTGTAGTTTGTACCAGAATTTAATAGTAGACATTGACATCCCCTCAGAAATAAAACCCTAGAGTTCATCCCCATTTCCCCAAATTCTCTTACTCCTGAAGTGCCTCAGAATCCAACCTATTCCCTGCAGATTTGCCTATCTGCCCATTTATTATGAGAAACGTCCAACCTGTGGCTTGCTGGTGGCTAGCTTCTTTCCTTAGCATGATATTTTCACAATTCATCTATGCTGTAGTATATACCACTGCTTTATTTTACCACATATTTTATTTCATCCATTATCAGTTGGTAAATACTACTGTATGTTTTCATTTTTCCGTTATGAATAATGCTGGTGTGAACATTTGTGAATAGGTTTATGTGTGGACCTGTGTCTTTATTTCTCTTCAGTATGTACTTAGAAGTATAATTCCTGGGTTATGTAAATCTCTGTTCTTAACATTTTGAGAAACTGCCAAGCTGTTTGCAATAGTAGCTGTGCCATTTACATTCCTCCAGTGTATGAGGGTTCCAATCTCACCACATTCTTCCTACCTTCTTAATGTCTATCTTTTCTATTTTATCCACTCTCGTAATTATAAAGTGGTATTTCAAAGTTGTTTTTTATTTTCTGCATAAAGATTAGAGATTACTGGTTTGGTAAGAAGGTTCACTGAGTATTGGCTACCAACATATCTGAAATCTGGTGAGGCAGAACACCAAATACACAATAAGCCACACAAAGTGGGTATTT